CCGCCTGGTATAGAGAAAGTCATTGTAGCCTATGATGATCACAGTATGACTGATTGACACATGGAAATTGATTGTCTTGGATGCAACTCCACTTGTGTAAAGTCTTTAAAAGCATATATTGTATGGTGTTCATGTAGTAGGCCTAGGCATTGTATAGACTCATTGAAACGTTGTGGACTCCTTATCTTGATAGGCTAAGGAAGAAACCTGTGCATTCATATCCATTTCAGAAACAAGCTATGGAAGTAGCCCAGATAGAATACTTTTTCAATTATATCCTTCCCTCTTCCCTTCCTTGGAGTAATCACTGATTCAACATTATTTGATGGGTGAAGGCAGAGAAGGAATTATGCATTTTAAAGTATTCAAACAGGCCCTGCCTGATATAAATAAATAACAATTGGTCGGTTTTGTCTTCAGTACATAAATTAATGTTTACATCCTTAGTAGGTAGCGGGCAACTTAGTAGGCTACTTATGGAATGAAATGCTTGTCCTAATTAAGAGGGCTTATTTTACTGTTACACCGGAACAACGTCGGTTCTGATTTACTGCAACACCAAGGTCTTTTCCGGTCTCTTTTCACCCACCCACAGGAAGAAAATGGTGAGTGAAATAATTTGTCAGAGATGGATCTTACAACATCTATTTATTTATCGGTTTATTTTTCAAGAAATCGTAGTGGTTTACGACTTACAATCAATGATAATGGTTTCTCACTGATATTGTTTTTGATTAAACGTTAGATGGTGTAGAAAAAGCAGAAGACAACTTCGTTAGCTAGTTAACTAGCAAAGGAAGCATTGGTCCATTGTGTATGTTTTGGGGTTAGCTAGCTAGAAAACAACCTTAGCTAGTTTGTGCTCAAGGTAAATGAGCCATTCTACAAACCACAACATCCTCACCTTTCTTTGTGTAGCTAATTCCCTCTAATCAACTAGTTATGAGTTGTTTTGTTGAACTGTTTCTAGCTAGTAGTGTTAGTATATTATGCCACTGGTCTTGCTAGCTAACTTGCTACCTTGCCTAAACCAAAAATGGAAAACTAGCAAACTAGTGAAGTTACCAGGAAGTTGGATAGAAACGTCAGTAGTCCAGCTTGGTTACCTACGCATGCAATCAGATGTACAACAAATGACTAATTCTCTGCTATGAATTATCCTGTGTCATTGTCTTGTCAATGATGTTTTCAATACAAATGTCTGAACATATGAATTTTCAGTGATTCTTACTTATTGACTGAGACAAGACCCCAACCTCGCCATGCATTCACACCGAATGACAAAGATCTCTTTGGCTAACTTTTGGTCCTTGTGTGTTTCAGACGAAGGGGACGTCGTCCTTCGGAAAGCGGCGTAATAAGACACATGCTCTATGCCGTCGCTGCGGTTCCAAGGCTTACCATCTGCAGAAGTCATCCTGCGGGAAGTGTGGCTACCCCGAGAAGCGCAAGAGAAGTTGTAAGTGTCCATGCCATTCCTTGAGATCGATAATTCGGCTTATCCATTCATTGAAACTGCTATATTGTAGTGATGGGAAGTTTGGTACTTCTTACTGACTCAGATCTTTTCAACTCGTTTAGTCAAAAGAACAAATATTTTAACTCATTTCGTTCATTTGATTCAGTCATGCCCAGAGCATGCAGGACCCCTAACGGCTAACAATGAACTAAAAACTCGAAAGAATCATGATTCTACACGCATCCCGTTCCCCATAGGGGCTTATTGTAGCTGTCATTTATGACAGACTTATAAAAGTGTGCTTCAATGCTACTTATACAAATACGATTATTTATTGATAGCTTTGAAACAAGGTCTAGTTGCGTCCGCAACCGGACTAGATTGTGAACGGCTCTTGGCAGAATGCTCTACATTTTACATTTTAGTCATTTAGCAGACGCTCTTATCCAGAGCGACTTACAGTTAGTGAGTGCATACATTTTTCATACTGGCCTCCCGTGGGAATCGAACCCACAACCCTGCCGTTGCAAAAGCCATGCTCTACCAACTGAGCTACATGGGGCCCAACGCAGTTACACCTCGACATCGGCTAAATAATAACAATGCAACTGCTGTGCAGTTGGCGGTTATCGCGGGTTGACGCCAGAACTGATTGAATCTTGGCCTAAGTTGAACATAATTTTTTTTTGGGGGGGGCTTAAAAATGGTAAGGTAAAAGTTAAATAACAACAAGTTGACATTGATGATGTCACTATTGCAACCATTCCTTTCAGGGGTGGAAAATGATTGTACATGAAACAAAACTAGTTGAAATCTATTTTAAGGTCAGGAGTTAGAATCATTTATATACAGAGGATTTGGTGCGTGTTCCATGTTGAAGGATGACACCATTCTTCAGGTTCATTCAATGTTTTCAGACCAATCCCTATCAGTCAGTTATTACTGAAAATGTCCTCTCCCTTAGAACTGGGAACAGAGCAGAGAGACATGAAACACCTTCATAGCAGCACTGCAAGTCCTACTTCACATATTTCTCCATGAATTTCTTGTGGAACTCTGAGCGCGAGTGTCGTTGACAAAGCGTTTCTCCCTGCATGCCTCATCCACTCCCTTTGCACAGTTCTTGAACACGACGTCATCGTCCCACCTTCTCTCGACACTTTACTTCCGCGAGGGCGATTAGCACAATATCATTTGCGAACTGCAACAGCCCCCCCAAAATACTTGTTTTCACGTTCAAGTGTTGAGCAGAGCTGTCTCTTCTAACGTTCAATAATCAGTTAATGTCATTCATTCTTTGACCATGCAATCGAATCAATTATCAGTTCTAAACATGTATTTTTCTTTATGCATTATCTATTTTTCCGTGAGCACATGATACAGTTGGTGTCTCCGGAGCCGGAGAAGCGAGTATTAATCCTGCTGTACGTTTCATTGCGGCCAGCAGATCAAATGAACGAGTCCCTCTGAAAAAATAATCATTACTCTCAAGTCAGTAATGAGTCGTTCAAAAAGAATGAATCGTTTACAAACGGCACATCACCACTATGTTGTCACCAAGATGTCACAGACCTGTGGGTATTCTGTCTCTATTGAATACTGAGGTTTGTTGCAGCATTGTCTTTTATTTTGTTTGCATTACTGCTTGCCTTGTTGACTTGTTTTTGAATGTTTGACAGTGCAGCATGAGTCAGTTCATGTTTATTACCCAGTGTCTTGTCAGTGATGATTTCAATACAAATGTCTGAACATATGAATTTCAGTGATTCTTACTTTGTGACTGAGACAAGACCCCAAACTCTCCATGCGTGCACATTGGTTGACAAATTAGATGAACAATATATTTGCCTAACCTCTGGATGTGTTTACCTGTGTCCCCACATCTGTTGACCAGGGGTGTGTATTACAAAGTAGGATCAGCTAACTGTTGAGCGTAGATGGCGCTTGAACAATTACTATTTAGTCTATTTTCACTGTATTGCATTAGTGGAAGCCAAGACTGTCCAGGGCAAGTCTGCCGGTGTTGACTAGCAGAAGTTACTTTTCGTAGCATGTTAGGGCAGGGTTTTATCTGAATAAAATGGGGCTTGGGTGGGGGCATGGCCAATGGTGCGGTCACCGACCGAACATTTGAGGCCCTCCTGTTGGCCGCAGTGGACAAAATGTAGCTGTTTAAAAGCTAATTTCCTGCAATTCTACACATCTTGTCATGGCTTATGCTATCTGAGTGATTCAAACATAACAAAATCAAATGGGGCTGCATACCATGACAAATACTCCTGAATGCATCATTTGGGGAATTTTTGGTTCTTCCGACTGCCTGAGTGGACTAATCCATTGTGGAGGCCGCGGGGATGGCACACCAGTACTACATTTACCGTTAATTACCATTTCTAAATTACAATGTTTGTTTGGTTATGGTAATTTCTGTTAATGCATTCAATATATTATTATTACAGTCTTACCATTGTCATTGTAGGAGTGGACATGTTGTTTGCAGAGTGCACAACCTAGGCTACACTTGTGAGGAAAATGTTTTGGTTTATTTCATTCCATTTACGAGTTGTCAATTTATTCATTGTCTTTTGTTTGGAGCACTCCTGTCAATTTTGAGTAAGGACACGCACCTGATTACGCATAGAAGTAGGCCTAGGCTACCTGGCCTGCACACAAATGTAGACTTATAAATGTGTCCATTTGATACGGCTGATGTGTATGTATTTATGTATATGTGTGTGTATGTATTTATGTGTATATACACTGCTCAAAAAAATAAAAGGAACACTTAAACAACACATCCTAGATCTGAATGAATGAAATAATCTTATTAAATACTTTTTTCTTTACATAGTTGAATGTGCTGACAACAAAATCACACAAAAATGATCAATGGAAATCAAATGTATCAACCCATGGAGGTCTGGATTTGGAGTCACCCTCAAACTTAAAGTGGAAAACCACACTACAGGCTGATCCAACTTTGATGTAATGTCCTTAACTCTTCCGAGTCGGCGAACGCTTCGGCGCGTTCAAATCGCGGGCCGGCTTTAGGACCGCGCAGCATCCAAACCAAGTGACGCAGAGGGCTGCCGTCGATTTCATGCAGAAATGGAGACCCGAAGCTACGTTTTGAGTGTTTGTTTCATGTAAATACACCAACTAAAACCAAAGTTATGATAATTTCAATTCCATGAAAAAAGTGCGTCAAAATATGTGCTCTTTTATGAGCGCTTTGCATTTATTATAATAACTTTGTCGTCTTTTGTGATAAAAAGGAACGGAAAAAAAACGTGTGCTTGTGCTAACCCGGTTCTTCAGGATGCACACGAGTATATAAACATTCATTCCCATGACAACTAGCCATTGCGAAAGAACGAACGAGAGGAATTAGTTCAGTTCATGAGTAGTTTTGGAGAGTTTTTCACGAGTTAGTATTTCAATTGTTAGTATTTCAAGAGTTTTATTGTCAGCAGTATCGTTTTTGTGAAGCAATATGAGGCGCACACTTCACGTTGAACAAGCCGTCGACTTGTTATTCCAAATGAGCGATGAAGAAACTTTGGAAAGTTCGTCGTCAGACGACGACGACGATGAGCAGCCTGGGCCATCAACAGCCCCCACCCCCACAACAAGCCGACGGAGGCCATCACAGAGGGGGCGTGGAAGGAAGGATCAGGCCAAGACCAGGTCAAGATCTCCAGCCCAGTCAGCAGCACAGCCAGAACAGAGCTCTGAGCCATGGAAAACAGAGACTGATCCTGACACTGCCCCACAAGCCAGTAGGTTCATGCCCCGCAGACCACCAGGAGCCCAGGTGGATTTGCATTCAGGGCACACACCAAAGGACCTCTTCCTGCTCTACTTCGCCGCAGATACAATGAGGACAATCTGCAGAAACACCAACAAACAGGCAGCAAGAAATCAGCAGAAGGGGAGCAAATATCAGTGGACTGACGTTGATGTGGAGGAACTGCACAGATTTCTGGGTCTCCTCATCTACACCTCATTGGTGACTCTGCCTAGTATCCAGGACTACTGGAAACAAAGCCACATATTGTCTGTTTCATTGCCAGCGAAGGTCATGCCAAGAGACAGATTCCGGTCCATCTCATGGAACATCCACCTAAGTGATCCAGAGGAGGATGTCATAAATGACCAGCGCAAAGGTACACCCCAGCATGACAAACTGTTCAGGGTCAAACCTCTGATGGACGACATTCGCACTGCCTGCCAGGCTCATTACCATCCTAAGAAGGAACTGTCAGTCGACGAGAGGATGGTGGCTACAAAAGCCAAAACTGGCATGACCCAGTACATGAAGGACAAGCCTAACAAATGGGGGATCAAGCTCTTTGTGTTGGTAGAGTCTAACAATGGCTACACTCTAAACTTCAACGTGTATGTTGGGAAAGCACACACACCCAGCGTGCATGGACTTTCATATGATGCTGTTATGGACCTCATTCAGCCATCACATCTTGGTACAGGATACCATATTTATATGGACAATTTCTACACCAGCCCAAAACTGTTCCTGAGTTTGGGAAGTATGAAGTTTGGAGCCTGTGGGACCTACAGAAGCAACAGAAAAGGGTGTCCTAGTGGCAGAGAAAATGCCCTCACCAGCAAATCGAAGAGGGGGTCTGTGAGATGGATCAGAGAGGATCGCCTGGTCTTTGTGAAGTGGATGGATACGCGGGAGGTGTCGGTGTGCTCCACAATCCACCCAGCGTTTTCGGGCGAGACAATCAAGAGGAAGGTGAAGGAAGGACCTGGACGCTGGGTAGCAAAAGACATTCCCTGCCCTACCCCCATCATGGCCTACAATAAGTACATGGGAGGGGTTGACCTGTCAGACCAGCTTCTCCAGTATTACTCAACCCATCGCAGAACTGCTCGCTGGTACCGTACCCTCTTCCTGCATTTTTTGGACATGGGAACAACAAATGCATACATCCTGCACTGTGACATCAGTGCGACCCAACAGGTCACACCCATGACGCACAAGAACTTTGTGGCAGAACTTGTGGCCCAGCTGTGCGGAGTGACCCAGACAGGGGTTCCACTTCAAAAAAGCACCAGCCATGTTCCTGTGGCCATTGCCAATGTTGCAGAGGCCAAAGACAAAGCCACAGCAGGCCGCATGGTTTGTCAACGCTGTAAACAAGTTGACAAGAAGAGGTTTGTCACACCATGGAAGTGCAAGGCCTGTGATGTGGCTCTCTGTGTCATTGTGGACAGGAACTGTTTTGAAGAGTGGCACATAGGGTAAAGGCCAGTGGCTATACCTACTTTTTTTGTAAATAGTTGTGTATTGCTTGTATATATCTCAAGAATACTTTTATATGTTCATATTTGCACTTTGTGGTTCAATTTGAAGCTTTTTTTTTCATTTTGGACAGAAACTGTTTTGAGGAGTGGCACAAAAAGGTTTAGGGTTAGAATAGAAGAAAAACGCCAGTGGTTATACCTACTTTTTATTGTAAATAGTTATTTATTGCTTGTATATATCACCAAAATACTTTTATATGTTCATATTTGCACCTTGTGGTTCAATTTGAAGCTTTTTAAATGCTTGGTTCACCATGTTTGAGGGTTTTACAATAAAAAAAACATCTTTTTTCTAAACGGACTTTGTGTTTTCTGTGTGTGTTTGGGTCCAGTGTGTTGAAATAGTATGTCAAAGTGAAAAACTTACTAACAGATCATATAGGTGAGGTTGTGCTGAAAAAAAAGATACCCAACATTGGTCTGGTAAACATTTCTTTATGTAGTATATCAGGGCAAAATTGAAGGTACCCAAAAACGGCCAAAAAAGCTCCAGACTCCGAAGAGTTAAAACAAGTCAAAATGAGGCTCAGTAGTGTGTGTGGCCTCCACGTGCCTGTATGACCTCCCTACAACGCCTGGGCATGCTCCTGATGAGGTGGCGGATGGTCTCCTGAGGGATCTCCTCCCAGACCTGGACTAAAGCATCCGCCAACTCCTGGACAGTCTGTGGTGCAACGTGGCGTTGGTGGATGGAGCGAGACATGGTGTCCCAGATGTGCTCAATTGGATTCAGGTCTGGGGAACGGGCGGTCCATAGCATCAATGCCTTCCTCTTAGAGGAACTGCTGACACAGTCCAGCCACATGAGGTCTAGCATTGTCTTGCATTAGGAGGAACCCAGGGCCAACCGCACCAGCATATGGTTTCACAAGGGGTCTGAGGATTTCATCTCGGTACCTAATGGCAGTCAGGCTACCTCTGGCGAGCACATGGAGGGCTGTGCGGCCCCCCAAAGAAATGCCACCCCACACCATGACTGACCCACCGCCAAACCGGTCATGCTGGAGGATGTTGCAGGCAGCAGAACGTTCTCCACGGCGTCTCCAGACTCTGTCACGTCTGTCACATGTGCTCAGTGTGAACCTGCTTTCATCTGTGAAGAGCACAGGGCGCCAGTGGCCAATTTGCCAATCTTGGTGTTCTCTGGCAAATGCCAAACGTCCTGCACGGTGTTGGGCTGTAAGCACAACCCCCACCTGTGGACGTCGGGCCCTCATACCACCCTCATGGAGTCTGTTTCTGACCGTTTGAGCAGACACATGCACATTTGTGGCCTGCTGGAGGTCATTTTGCAGGGCTCTGGCAGTGCTCCTCCTTGCACAAAGGCGGAGGTAGCGGTCCTGCTGCTGGGTTGTTGCCCTCTTACGGCCTCCTCCACGTCTCCTGATGTACTGGCCTGTCTCCTGGTAGCGCCTCCATGCTCTGGACACTACGCTGACAGACACAGCAAACCTTCTTGCCACAGCTCGCATTGATGTGCCATCCTGGATGAGCTGCACTACCTGAGCCACTTGTGTGGGTTGTAGACTCCGTCTCATGCTACCACTAGAGTGAAAGCACCGCCAGCATTCAAAAATGACCAAAACATCAGCCAGGAAGCATAGGAACTGAGAAGTGGCCTGTGGTCACCACCTGCAGAACCACTTCTTTATTGGGGGTGTCTTGCTAATTGCCTATAATTTCCACCTGTTGTCTATTTCATTTGCACAACAGCATGTGAAATGTATTGTCAATCAGTGTTGCTTCCTAAGTGGAATGTTTGATTTCACAGAAATGTGATTGACTTGGAGTTACATTGTGTTGTTTAAGTGTTCCCTTTATTTTTTTGAGCAGTGTATGTATGCATACATACTGTACCAGTCAAACGTTTGGACACACCTACTCATTCCTGAGCATGAATTGGTTTTTAGTCAAGGCCCCCGCAATGGATTAGTTCATTGAGATGGGCGGGCGGGCATATATACAGTGGGGGGGGGGGGGGGAGTATTTAGTCAGCCACCAATTGTGCAAGTTCTCCCACTTAAAAAGATGAGAGAGGCCTGTAATTTTCATCATAGGTACACGTCAAGTATGACAGACAAAATTAGAAGAAAAAAATCCAGAAAATCACATTGTAGGATTTTTTATGAATTTATTTGCAAATTATGGTGGAAAAAAAGTATTTGGTCAATAACAAAAGTTTCTCAATAATTTGTTATATACCCTTTGTTGGCAATGACACAGGTCAAACGTTTTCTGTAAGTCTTCACAAGGTTTTCACACACTGTTGCTGGTATTTTGGCCCATTCCTCCATGCAGATCTCCTCTAGAGCAGTGATGTTTTGGGGCTGTCGCTGGGCAACACGGACTTTCAACTCCCTCCAAAGATTTTCTATGGGGTTGAGATCTGGAGACTGGCTAGGCCACTCCAGGACCTTGAAATGCTTCTTACGAAGCCACTCCTTCGTTGCCCGGGCGGTGTGTTTGGGATCATTGTCATTCTGAAAGACCCAGCCACGTTTAATCTTCAATGCCCTTGCTGATGGAAGGAGGTTTTCATTCAAAATCTCACAATACATGGCCCCATTCATTCTTTCCTTTACACGGATCAGTCGTCCTGGTCCCTTTGCAGAAAAACAGCCCCAAAGCATGATGTTTCCACCCCCATGCTTCACAGTAGGTATGGTGTTCTTTGGACGCAACTCAGCATTCTTTGTTCTCCAAACACGACGAGTTGAGTTTTTACCAAAAAGTTATGTTTTGGTTTCATCTGACATTCTCCCAATCCTCTTCTGGATCATCCAAATGCACTCTAGCAAACTTCAGACGGGCCCGGACATGTACTGGCTTAAGCAGGGGGACACGTCTGGCACTGCAGGATTTGAGTCCCTGGCAGCGTAGTGTGTTACTGATGGTAGGCTTTGTTACTTTGGTCCCAGCTCTCTGCAGGTCATTCACTGGGTCCCCCTGTGTGGTTCTGGGATTTTTGCTCACCGTTCTTGTGATCATTTTGACCCCACGGGTTGAGATCTTGCGTGGAGCCCCAGATCGAGGGAGATTATCAGTGGTCTTGTATGTCTTCCATTTCCTAATAATTGCTCCCACAGTTGATTTCTACAAACCAAGCTGCTTACCTATTGCAGATTCAGTCTTCCCAGCCTGGTGCAGGTCTACAATTTTGTTTCTGGTGTCCTTTGACAGCTCTTTGGTCTTGGCCATAGTGGAGTTTGGAGTGTGACTGTTTGAGGTTGTGGACAGGTGTCTTTTATACTGATAAGTTCAAACAGGTGCCATTAATACAGGTAACGAGTGGAGGACAGAGGAGCCTCTTAAAGAATAAGTTACAGGTCTATGAGAGCCAGAAATGTTGCTTGTTTGTAGGTGACCAAATACTTATTTTCCACTATAATTTGCAAATAAAATCATTAAAAATCCTACAATGTGATTTTCTGGATTTTTTAAAATCAATTTGTCTGTCATAGTTGACGTGTACCTATGATGAAAATTACAGGCCTCTCATCTTTTTAAGTGGGAGAACTTGCACAATTGGTGGCTGACTAAATACTTTCTTTCCCCACTGTGTGTGTATATATATATATATATATATATATATATATATATATATGTATATATACACACACACACACACACATACAGAACCAGTCAAAAGTTTGGACACCTACTCATTCAAGGGTTTTTCTTTATTTTTACTATTTTCTACATTGTAGAATAATAGTGATGACATAAAAACTATGAAATAACACATATGGAATCATGTAGTAACCAAGAAAGTGTTCAACAAATCAAAATGTATTTTATATTTGAGATTCTTCAAATAGCCACCCTTTGCCTTGATGACAGCTTTGCACTCTTGGCATTCTATCAACCAGCTTCATGAGGTAGTCACCTGGAATGCATTTCAATTAACAGGTGTGCCTTAAGTTAATTTGTGGAATTTCTTTCCTTCTTAATGCGTTTGAGCCAATCAGTTGGGTTGTGACAAGTTGGGGGGGGGGTATACAGGAGATAGGGCTATTTGGTAAAATACCAAGTCTGGAACATTTCAAGAACTTTGAAAGTTTATTAAAGTGCAGTTGCAAAATCCATCAAGCGCTATGATGAAACTGGCTCTCATGAGGACCGCCACAGGAATGGAAGATCCAGCGTTACCTCTGCTGTAGAGGATAAGTTCATTAGCGTTACCAGCCTCAGAAATTGCAGTCAAATAAATGCTTCACAGAGTTCAAGTAACAGACACGTCTCAACATCAACTGTTCAGAGGAGACTGTGTGAATCAGGCCTTCATGGTCGAATTGCTGCAAAAAAAAACACTACTAAAGGACACCAATACAAAGAGACTTGCTTGGGCCAAGAAACACGAGTAATGGACATTAGACCGGTGGAAATGTGTCCTTTGGTCTGGAGTCCAAATTGGAGATTTTTGGTTCCAACCACCATGTCGTTGTGAGACATGGTGTGGGTGAACGGATGAACTCTGCATGTGTATTTCCCACCGTAAAGCATGGAGGAGGTGGTGTTATGGTGAGGGGGTGCTTTACTTTACTTAATTTAGAATTCAAGGCACACTTAACCAGCATGGCTACCACAGCATTCTGCAGCGATACGCCATCCCATCTGGTTTGGGCTTAGTGGGACTATCATTTGTTTTTCAAAAGGACAATGGCCCAACACACCTCCAGGCTGTGTAAGGGCTATTTTACCAAGAAGGATAGTGATGGAGTGCTGCATCAGATGACCTGGCCTCCACACTCCCCCGACCTCAACCCAATTGAGATGGTTTGGGATGAGTCGGACTGCAGAATGAAGGAAAAGCAGCCAACAAGTGCTCAGCATGTGGGAACTCCAAGACTGTTGGAAAATCATTCCAGGTGAAGCTGGTTGAGAGAATGCCAAGAGTGTACAAAGCTGTCATCGAGGCAAAGGGTTGCTATTTGAAGAATCTGAAATATATTTTGATTTGTTTAACACTTTTTTGGTTACTACATGATTCCATGTGTTATTTCATAGTTTTGATGTCTTCACTATTATTCTACAATGTAGAAAATAGTAAAAATCAAGAAAAACCCTTGAATGAGTAGGTTCTGTATGTGTGTGTGTAATATATATATATATATATATATATATATATATGCCCGCCCGCCCATCTCAATGAACTAATCCATTGCGGGGGCCTTGACTAAAAACCAATTCATGCTTGATCCGAAAATATGGTCGGAGGCTCCATATAGAGGGTGTGACGCAATTGCGGCGCCACCATAGGCATGCAGAGGCCAAATCGAGCTCTGTACCGCATCGCCATGCGCCTCCCAAATGTTGTACCAATACTGAGGGCTCTTTATAGCTCCGCATTGACATGATTGGTTGACAGTAAGTGGGGGCGGTACATCCTGTATAAACACAAACTCACTTCCTTGACAACAGCTCTGCACTGCTCCATGAAGCTCAAGAAGTATGAATGCCCTGACTTCTGTGGAGTCAATATCACCGTAAATGCTGCATGGCCAATGCAGAGGTCGGATTGACCATGTACCCAGATGCACAATGCACTTCTCTCTCCAGAATGTGATCTCTACCACCAATTTGTTCACAATCATTGTTTCATTTCTTCACTGTGTGAATTATTTGCGTTTGATTGTTGGTGTATATCAGTTCCCCATTACGTATGTCACCAGTAGTACATTTCCCTTTAATTCCTATAATTTCTAATCTACAATGTTTTTTACTTTGTTTACGGTAATTTATTTTCATGCATTCAATATTATTCCAGTCTTCCCTTTCTCATTATCTTGAGTGGACACATTGTTTGCAGAGTGCACAACCAATGCTACACTTGTGAGAAACAAGTTTTGATTTATTTCATTCCATTTACGAGTTTTGTCAATTTAGTCAGTCTTTCGTTTGAAGCACTCCTATCAATGTTGAGTAAGGATGCGCACGCATAGACGTAGGCTTATAGGCTACCTGGCCTGCGCGCAAATGTAGGCATATATAAATGTGCCCATTTGGGGATCTGATAGTATTCCTGATTGGCTTAATGCACCACCACTAATGACCTGTAGAGCTTCTCAAAGTAATGTTTTCTTCACCTCAAACAGCAAGCAAACGTAGTCTGTTTTTACATCCATTGAGAATTACAATAGTTCCTCAATGTATTTTTAAAAATCTTTCCAGCTCTCCCTTTCAATAACCACTCAGCGTAAAATCGAAAAAATGTACTGGTACTGTTTATATTTAGGTGCAGGAGCTCCACAATACTTTTGAGCTAAGATTCTTTAAGAGGAACAGGAGCTCAAGCAGTAGAACATTTCAGGTGCCGGTACTCAGCTCCGGTGAGCTCCTGCCCAAGTCCAGCACTGCTTCTTATCCCTTGCGCAAATAGCCTACAGCTGTGTCTGTCCCGAGCTCACTGGCGTTTAAAACGGAGGGCCCAGAATCTTTTATACAATGTTGCAAGTTTGCTAGCGCAAGCTTCGGGCTGGACCCAGTTAATAGTTGATACAATGTTTCAAGTTCGTTTGCAGTCAGGCCATGTGTAGCCAATGTGGTTTATATGATAGCCTATTACCGGCAACTTCAAGAGCATAATGGAAGAATCTGTGAAGGCCAGCAACAGCGGGAGGAGGAGTAGGGTTGGTTCGGGAACAGGTTTTTTTTTCTTCTGGTTAGGCTATATTGGTCTCTGGCTCCCTCTTTTTAGTAATTTGTGTGTCAATTTTTTACTTGCAGCGCTTAAAGCATCAGGTGAAGTAGCCTACATATAGTTGATTTTTTTCAAACATAGGGTGTGTATATATGGAAAAATATGTTTTAAAGCTCACTGGTGCAGGAAATGCTGAGGGCCCAGAATATTTTATACAATGTTGCTAGTGCAAGCTTCTGGCCAGACACAGTTGATACAATGTTTCAAGTTTGTTGCAGACAGGCCATGCATAGCCAATGTGTTTTATAAGATATTTATTTTCATCAGGATATTTTCTACCTGCAGGCTGCAGTGTTTTTATTTGTTGGCTTTATGTAGGCTATTTTTACATAGTTGGCAATGGTAATAAAAGTTACTTTTAGATTTGTAATTTAATTTAGGTAACATTTTGATTAATCACATGACAATAATTTTGAGATAAAGACTTATAAATTAAATGACACTGTTCCACAAAAATGTGCATATGAAAATCGTAACTGATCGATAGAAATGGTAAGATAAATTGGTACTAAATGGAAAAGGTTGCCAACCCCTGGTGTAGCCTATTACCGGCAGATTCAGGAGCATAACAGCAGAATCTGTGAAGGGCAGCAGCAGGAGGAGGATCAGGAACATGTTTTTTTCTTCTGGTTAGGCTATCTTGATTTCTGGCTCCCTCTTGAGTCATTTGTCTTAATTATTTAATCAAACAGTGTGCTTAAAGCATCAGACAAGCTCAGTACATATAGTTGATTTTATTAAAACATATAGGGTGTGTCCTATATATGGAAAAATACATGTTTATAAATTTAGACCAATTGATTGGTCAAAATAAAAGACAGCTCGGTCGACCAATATTTTTTTGGGAGTCGGGGACAGCACTACTGTTTGGTCATACGTAGGCGGTCTGGGGAAAAAAACACTTAGGCGGCCGCCCAAGACTTTTCTTTGCAGAAAAAACCCTGGGTTAGGATAACTTGTGGCAGGTTAGGATAATTATTGTGGCAGGTTAGGAGAATTAGGTTAAGGTTAGGAAAAGGGTTAGGGTTTACTAAAATGCTACAATTGTCCCCTATGCGGCTAACATATCTAGCTACAACCAGGCCTGCCCTGAAGTCTTGGTTTCCACGAATGCAATGCTGCTCTATTGTCATGGATCTGCAAATTAATTTAAGGATATTTGGGAATGTTCGCTGGCAAAACCGTTGATCCTGCTTTTTTAAATGTATTTCTGTTGTCTACCTTTGTGTATTGACCTGTCGTCTCTTTCTGTAGACAACTGGAGCGCTAAGGCCAAGAGGAGGAACACCACTGGGACCGGCCGCTTGAGGCACCTGAGGGTTGTCTACCGCAGATTCAGGTGAGCACAGTGGAAAGCCAGAGTACAGAGTCCTGCTGATTTTTGCCCCATTGCCTGGAAAAACAGGGTTGTTCAGTAGGGCACATGGCAAAATGTTTTGCATTTGAAAATGAAGTTCAGGTAGGATGCGTTTTCTCCTGTTTCCTGCCCACTGAAGGCGGCGACCCTGGTGCACTCGAGAACAATCAGTAACATTAGTGCCAGGGAGAAATTAAAACCTGCAGGATTGTGGCTCTCAAGGGCCTGAGTTAATCAAATGCAAAGGACATGCAGGTCATTCTAAAATGTGAGAGTATATTTGTGGTGGTTGATGCTTTGCTGTAGTGTTGTCACGGTACCAGAATTTTTGACTTCGATACCAGGTTCAGTATCACGATACTCGATACCAAAACAATACAAGATACCATGGCAAAAAAAAAAGAGTATTACCTAGTCACAGAATAACCACTGGGCTTTTCATTTTTTACTTTGCGCAATATGTTGATAACTGGTAGAACAACTAAAATAACAAATAGAAGATCTATTCTATATTCAATTTCTTTCAAAAATAAAACGCCCTATTAAATAACAGAAGAATCTTACATTTTCCTTATGCAAAACCATATCTGAGACTCAGAGCATACAACATAATTTTACCGTTACATCTAAGCTGTTTTAAAATGTAATTTGATACACATCAGGGTTAATTTGCTCATCTATAGCCATAATATAGGGTCAGAGGAAATTAATTAGACCTATGCTAAATAATTTAATGTATTAAGTGAATAGTTTAGTTCCAAAACATGTTTTTTAAGTTCATTTCTGAAGCTTCTATATTGCAGTAGTCTACACACCATTAGAAATACAATGGATTTAACACAGCGTACTACAATTCCCAGAGTGCATTTCAAGTCTCAGGGTACAATGCTCCACCCAGGGCTGCTGGTTGGCTACCAGCAAGCCCAGACAAACGCAAAGTAGTCTAAATATATTGCTGTCATAGCTAAGTTATGAGTGCAACTCAAATTACTTTTGGGTTGTAATCATATTATAACGCTCACATTACATTTACATTTTAGTCATTTAGCAGACGTTCTTATCCAGAGCGACTTACAGTTAGTGAGTGCATACATTTTCATACTGGCCCCCCGTGGGAAACGAACCCACAACCCTGGCGTTGCAAGCGCCATGCTCTACCAACTGAGCTACAGGGGAATGTCATGCTGAATATATGTTGCTGATTATCCCTTGTTTCGGTGGGCTGGCCCTCATCTGCTCCATAAGCAAAGTATTGCCATGCTGTCAGCATTTTCTCTCTCGCTTGCTTCTTAAGTAGCTCGTGCTGTTCCAGCTGCATGTGCATGTAGCCTAGCTAGCTCACTACTGCCCCCTTGAGAACATTCAGACAAATTACTAGACAGACTTGATCCTCTCAATCCTTATGAGGTGAGACACATTTGAAAGAAGTACCGAAAGTAACAAATTCTAGTACCGAACTGTTTATCGTGTTCTAGTATTGAAAAAGTACAGCAGTTTCAGTATACCTTGCAACACTACTCTGCTATATGTGAATCATTCTCTGCTCCTGAGTCTGGTTGTGTAGCCCTTTAAGCCACTGTCAGCCTGTGCTCCTTTAAAGCTGTTGCTTGGAAATAATGCTAGCTGAAATTAGTTTGCCAATGTCAAAAAATAAATGTCTGAACACATTAGTTCAGTGATTTTAATTTTGAGGCAAGCTTCACTCTGCCATCAATTTATTCTGCCATGTTTGCTTATTGCCATCTATTATTTAGTTTGTTCACCAGTAGTGTACATGCATGGTACAAATAACACCACAACCTGGTAAAGACCCTGGGTGACTGAATGAAATGTTGCCATATAGCTTAGGTGAGCAATAAGGTTACTATTTGAGTATTGTATGTAATGTACAGATGTCTTATATTCTTTCCTTTTCAGGAATGGATTCCGGGAAGGGACCACACCCAAGCCCAGGCGTGCTGCAGTGGCTGCCTCCAGCTCGTCCTAGACACACTTTGGGTTTACTTAAATAAATGTGCTGTTGATTTAAGTTGTCTTGTCTGTTTTTTCAGTATTACATTAACCATCCAAGAACTCTTTAACAGGCTAAGCTGCACATCGAATAAGTGTGTGAACTGTGTAATTGCGGTGTAGTTCACCATTCTCAATTGAATATTTTATTTATTCTACCTGGATTTTAAATGAAGGGAAAAAATTAAGTGCGTTTCTGTCAAGTTGTTTAAGTTAGTGCAAACATTCAGGTTGAAGACAGTTATTTATTTTTTTATCAGCACTTGACATTGCCCAAATCAGCCATAGAAATGGTGTGGATGAGACAACCTTTTGAGGATTGTGTGGGGTGGGATTATGTAAAGACGTTTTTCAGTGGTACAGTGTACAATCAAGATTGAGATGGCAATAATATAAAAAATATTTTTTGCTTAATCAAGTGCTCTGTCTGTGGTGTTATGTTCTGAACAGAGTAAAAACTCAAACCATGTTTATTTCCCCATTGGGTCATACAGCTGCAAAGACAACACACAAGCACATATGTACCTTCCGACAAGGTGTAGTTATCTCCTTGCACGTCTAAGCTAGACATTCTTTCTGTTAGGCAGAAACACGGTAGGTTCCTCTTACTGGTATTATCATGGCCCTGTCTAAGTCTAGGACCCTCATGGGTGTGGAAGTGTGTGTGAGAGGCCTATAATCGGATGGTCATCAGGGTGGGTCCCTGTGGCTCCCCTCCCAGCAGTGTCTTCTCTCTTCATCTGTTGACCTTACCTCGAGTTGAGTTCCACATCCCTCATGGTCCTGGTTCCTCAGCAACTGGCCTGCCTTATCAATAACTGATACTAGACTGTTGCCCTTTGCCGCCCTCCTTAGGAACATTCATATTCAATAACATATTTGAACAGAATGACATTTCTGCGCTTCCCCTTTTCTCAATTAGTAACTTTCAACACATCTAATTAGTTCCTCTTGACCCCTAACATATACACTGCTCAAAAAAATAAAGGGAACACTAAAATAACACATCCTAGATCTGAATGAATGAAATTCTTATTAAATACTTTTTTCTTTACATAGTTGAATGTGCTGACAACAAAATCACACAAAAATTATCAATGGAAATAAAATGTATCAACCCATGGAGGTCTGGATTTGGAGTCACCCTCAAAACTAAAGTGGAAAACCACACTACAGGCTGATCCAACTTTGATGTAATGTCCTTAAAACAAGTCAAAATGAGGCTCAGTAGTGTGTGTGGCCTCCACGTGCCTGTATGACCTCCCTACAACGCCTGGGCATGCTCCTGATGAGGTGGCGGATGGTCTCCTGAGGGATCTCCTCCCAGACCTGGACTAAAGCATCCGCCGACTCCTGGACAGTCTGTGGTGCAACGTGGCATTGGTGAGGTCTGGGGAACGGGCGGGCCAGTCCATAGCATCAATGCCTTCCTCTTAGAGGAACTGCTGACACAGTCCAGCCACATGAGGTCTAGCATTGTCTTGCATTAGGAGGAACCCAGGGCCAACCGCACCAGCAAATGGTCTCACAAGGGGTCTGAGGATCTCATCTCGGTACCTAATGGCAGTCAGGCTACCTCTGGCGAGCACATGGAGGGCTGTGCAGCCCCCCAAAGAAATGCCACACCATGACTGACCCACCGCCAAACCGGTCATGCTGGCGGATGTTGCAGGCAGCAGAACGTTCTCCACGGCGTCTCCAGACTCTGTCACGTGCTCAGTGTGAACCTGCTTTCATCTGTGAAGAGCACAGGGCGCCAGTGGCGAATTTGCCAATCTTGGTGTTCTCTGGCAAATGCCAAACGTCCTGCACGGTGTTGGGCTGTAAGCACAACCCCCACCTGTGGACGTCGGGCCCTCATACCACCCTCATGGAGTCTGTTTCTGACCGTTTGAGCAGACACATGCACATTTGTGGCCTGCTGGAGGTCATTTTGCAGGGCTCTGGCAGTGCTCCTCCTGCTCCTCCTTGCACAAAGGCAGAGGTAGCAGTCCTGCTGCTGGGTTGTTGCCCTCCTACGGCCTCCTCCACGTCTCCTGATGTACTGGCCTGTCTCCTGGTAGCGCCTCCATGCTCTGGACACTACGCTGACAGACACAGCAAACCTTCTTGCCACAGCTCGCATTGACGTGCCATCCTGGATGAGCTGCACTACCTGAGCCACTTGTGTGGGTTGTAGACTCCGTCTCATGCTACCACTAGAGTGAAAGCACCGCCAGCATTCAAAAGTGACCAAAACATCAGCCAGGAAGCATAGGAACTGAGAAGTGGTCTGTGGTCACCACCTGCAAAACCAGTCCTTTATTTGGGGTGTCTTGCTAATTGCCTATAAATTCCACCTGTTGTCTATTCCATTTGCACAACAGCATGTGAAATTTATTGTCAATCGGTGTTGCTTCCTAAGTGGACTGTTTGATTTCACAGAAGTGTGATTGACTTGGAGTTACATTGTGTTGTTTAAGTGTTCCCTTTATTTTTTTGAGCAGTGTACATTCCTTATACATATAAAGTTATCAATAAGTTCTAGTATGGTAACATGAATAAGTATGTTTCAAGATAGAATCCAACAGTGGTTTTCAAACCTCTCCTCTTGGACCCATAGATGTTTCACAATTTTATTTTAGCCCCAGGGCTTGATAAGTTGAATCAAGTGCTAGCTCTTTAATAGTTCCCTGTGGGGAGGTTTGAATGTTTAGATTTGTTGTTGGCATAAACTGCTTTATCCCCTCTTTCTGACTGCCTCAATCAATGGAAATGAACTGGACAGCCACAGAGCTGACATTAGTTTTGAAAGGGAAATGTTGCAATGCTGGGGATTTCCCTGCAGGATTTGGAAGAAAGGGGATTGCGGTACTATCCCATCATTGTAGAGGTCATTAGTTGAGCTTGAAATGGAAAGGGAAACCATGAGCCACTAATATAAAGGCAACTGACCTGCTCTCAGCAGTAGCACACTTCAAACAAATATGAGGACCGCAACTTTGATCCTGCTTTGTGTCACAGTCTTCGGAGCTGGACTTGCTCATTACCCTGGTAAGTAGGCTATTTCAATTCTAAGAGGGCATTAGTATATCTACCATTTTATTTTTAGTTCATGTGTTTATTTAATAAATTCTTTCCGTTATTTCATATGTACGAAAGGCACATTTTGCAGTATCCATATGGTTAACTTGATAAGTGAATAGCAGATTCAGATGTTGAAAGCTAGTAATAACAATTACCTTTAGTTTTTGTTGTAATAGCACTATATCTTATCTGCTGTTCCTTCAAATCAATAGGTGGAAGATCTGAGAAATGTCTATGCAGGGGAAAACTAATGCAGTCTGTGAGGATAAAACGCATCCAGAAGTTAGAGGTGTACCCAAACACTGTATTCTGTGCAAAGACAGAAATGATGTGAGTATTACAAATAATTATATTTACAATCAGATTGTGTGGAAGTGAGACTACAAATATATTGTTTTGTATCTTTGTAGTGCCACAATGAAGAATGGTAAGAAAAAATGTCTGAACCCAGAGGGCAAGCAAGGAAAAAGGTTCCTGATGAGAAAAAGGTAAAACATTTTCCCATCAAAGCTTTCCTCAATGTAACTTGCAATAAGCCATTTTTTTCCTAAATTAAAAGTTCCTTACTTACATTTCAGACTGGAGGAGCAACAGAAGCCAAAATGAGGACTGGGAAGGAGAAACAAAAATTATTCAAATCAAATTAGAAAATAGTGTGTGTTCATGGCACAAGTGTGTGTTGGTCGAGCTGGAGACGGTCACAGCAGCCTGTCTGGGAGTGGAGGGGTTCCTTCCCGGAATACGTTCTGGATATTGCATAGTACACAATGTATCCATGCATTCCATTCCCATGTAAACAGGGAAAAGGCCAAGATGTTGTCATAGAGACTTACCTCAATGGTTCTCATGGACATTTGTTTTACATGTGTTCATGGCAGTGAATGTTTGTGTGGGTTATATCACTATATTTACATGTCTATGTTTAGCCTCACTTCAGAAAGTAATGTAGCACACTTGCTCTGAGATTTGTTACAAATTAATCACTTTTGTGAATGAAAGCCAACTGCTTTTATAAATGTTCACCCATATCACAACAGCTGTTGTGTACTTGCATTAAGTTTTGTCACATCTATACTGAACAAAAATATGAATGAAAAACATGTAAAGTGTTGGTCCGATGTTTCATGAGCTGAATTAAAAGATCCCAAAAAATGTCCATATGCACAAAAAGCTTACTTCTCTCAAATTATGGCACACATTTGTTTACATCCCTGTTAGTGAGCATTTCTCCTTTGTCAATATTATCCATCCACCTGACAGGTGTGGCATATGAAGAAGCTGATTAAACTGCATGATCATTACACAGGTGCACCTTGTGCTGGGAACAATAAAAGGCCTCTCTAAAATGTGCAGTTTTGTCACACAACACAATGCCACAGATGTCTCAAGTTTTGAGAGAGCGTGCAATTTGCATGCTGACTGCAGGAATGGCCACCAGAGCTGTTGTTTTAATGTTAATTTCTCTACCATAAGCCGCCTCCAAAGTCATTTTAGAGAATTTGGAAGTACGTTCAACCGGCCTCACAACCGCAGACCACGTGTATGGCGTTGTGTGAGCGAGTGGTTTGCTGATGTCAACATTGTGAACAGAGTGCCCCATAGTGGCAGTTGGGTTATGGTATGGGCAGGCAGGCAAAAGCTACGGACAACGAACACAATTGCATTTTATCGATGGCAATTTGAATGCACAGAGATACCGTAACGAGATCCCGAGGTCCATTGTCGTTGCATTCATCCGCCGCCATCATGTTTCAGCATGATAATGCACGGGCCCATGTTGCAAGGATCTGTACACAATTCCTGGAAGCTGAAAATGGCCCAGTTCTTCCATGGCCTGCATACTCACCATACATGTCACCCATTGAGCATGTTTGGGATGCTCTGGATTGACGTGTATGACAGCGAGTTCCAGTTCCCGCCAATATCCAGCAACTTCCACAGACCACAATCAACAGCCTGATCAACTGTATGTGAAGGAGATGTATCGCGCTGCATGAGGAAAATGGTGATCCACACCTCTACCTTTTTAAAAAAGATTTATTTGACCAACAGATGCATATCTGTATTCCCAGTCATGTGAAATCCATAGATTAGGGCCTAATGAATTTATTTCAATTTACTGATTTCCTTATATGAACTGTAACTCAGTAAAATCTTTGAAATTGTTGCATGTTGTGTTTATATTTTTGTTCAGTATATATTTGTAAAATTATTTACATTATTCTGTGTGTATTTTTTAAACTTGTGTAAATGCAGGGAATTTCTTTAATCAGTTGACACTTTTTTATTTATAAATGAGTTTTCTAAATAAAATAATTTAAGTAAAATACTCTTCCATTTGTGTCATTGTTCATGGGTAATGGTACAGCAGTAAGAGGGGTTCAAATAATTACAATCACCTGATAATTAATTTCATCAGTCAAGTGACTCTTTTTTTATCAAGATAACCATCTCATTAATCTACTTGTTTAAACTGCTGTTGAAGTTGGATTTTGAAGTTTGATTTGTCATAAAATCTGTACATGTTAAACGCACCACCATAATAACGCACAGAGGATTTTCTTAAAGTATAACACTGCTTTCCAAAGTGTAATTGTAATTAGTACAACAGTTATCAATACTCTGAATGCAACTGTTTTACGCATAGTGTAATCTGGATCATAAACAGGAAATAACTAAGCACAAACCGTGTGCTGTGGTGATGGATAACTTAACCCCTGACTTGGGGGAGGGTTTTTTTGTTAACAAGGGAAATCTATGAGACTGTGGGACAGACAGTCCTCGGTCACATCCTCAGGTCGGAATATATCACACTTCCTCATTGGCCTAGAGGAAAGAAAGCACTCCAAATCTTGACTTGAAAATACCCCTTTCCTCTTGTCTGACAGAATTCTAAAATCATGAACCTTCAAGGTTGGTCTCAGTGTTATTACCCCCTCTGGGAAATTCCCAGAGTTTGTTTACATCCCTGTTGGTAATATGGGGGCAAGAAAATAAAATAATATGGGGACTGAACATCGCCCCCAAGTCTGCTGAGAGGGCCTCTAGATCAGTTGTTCCTAAACATGTATGGTAGACAGATGAGAGGGATATAGCACAGAAAATGAGTGCAAGACCAGGAATTGAACCGCTGCCTTCAGAGGCATATGAAGTCCGGGTGCGGCAGCACTAGACCAGCCACTGGCCAGGCATGGATCAAGTTGGAAAGAAAAAAAGTAGTAGCTTTCTACCGCCCACTCACAGCCACACACTCTTACACTCAGACATGAGATTTCTAAGAAATGGGAAACATATCTATAACAAAAGAAAAACCGGCAGGGCAGGCTCCCTGGTAATCCCCATAGTTGCTCAATAGGCTATTGAATGGAGTGGTGATGACTCACAAATCACATGCATACGAGTATCACCCATTCCCCAAAATGTTTAAATATTGGGTTATAAATTGTGCCTTCCTGTATTATACTCATGCTAAAATGTACTAAGCCATTTACTTTATTTTTGTATTTCTTATTTTTGTTGCATTATTGAGAAGGAACCTGCAAGTAAGCATTTCGTCGGACGGTGTATACCATGTGTATCCTGTACATACGACTAATGAAACTTGGTACCCAGGACTTTCCATTCCCTGCCTTGGAGGGGGATTGAAAATATCCATAAAAGGCCTAGACTAGCCCCTATGTAAGCCTTAGCCTATGGCAAAATGTCCTTCCAGCCTATCATTCATATTTGCATTAGTGTTGTAATGTTAGTGATGTACACTGAACAAAAATATAAACGCAACATGTAAAGTGTTGGTCCCATGTTTCATGAGCTGAAATAAGAGATCCCCGAAATTTTACATACGCACAAAAAGCTTATTTCTCTCAACTTTTGTGCACAAATTTGTTTACATCCCTGTTAGTGAGCATTTCTCATTTGCCAAGACAATCCATCCACCTGACAGGTGTGGCATATGAAGAAGCTGATTAAACAGCATGATCATTACACAGGTGTACCTTGTGCTGGCGACAATAAAAGGCCTCTCTAAAATGTGCGGTTTTCTCACACAACACAATACCACAGATGTCTCAGGTTTTGAGGGAGCGTGCAATTGGCTTGCTGACTGCAGGAATGACCACCGGAGCTGTTGCCAGAGAATTTCATGTTAATTTCTCTACCATAAGCTGCCTCCAACGTCGTTTTAGAGAATTTGGCAGTACATCCAACCAGCCTCACAACCGCAGACCACGTGTATGGCGTCGTGTGAGCAAGTGGTTTGCTGATGTCAACGTTGTGAACAGAGTGCCCCATGGTGGCAGTGGGGTTATGGTATGGGCAGGCAAAAGCTACGGACAACAAACACAATTGCATTTTATCAATGGCAATTTCAATGCACAGAGATGCCGTAACGAGATCCCGAGGCCCATTGTTGTTGCATTCATCCGCCGCCATCACATCATGTTTCAGTATGATAATGCACGGGCCCATGTCGCAAGGATCTGTACACAATTCCTGGAAGCTGAAAATGGCCCAGTTCTTCCATGATCAACTTTATGCGAATGAGATGTGTCGCGCTGCATGAGGCAAATGGTGATCCACACCTCTACCTTTTTTTAAAAGGTATCTGTGACCAACAGATGCATATCTGTATTCCCAGTCATGTGAAATCCATAGATTAGGGTCTAATGATTAGGGTCTTTATTTCAATTGTCTGATTTCCTTATATGAACTGTAACTCTGTAAAATCTTTGAAATTGTTGCATGTTACGTTTATATTTTTGTTCATTATAGTAGTGTTAGTCACTAGTAAAGCAACTAGTGATGTTAGCAAATGTTATTGTTATTTGTCATTGTGATGGGTGATTTGAAGTCAGGCGCAGGAGGGTAAATCACAGAATACAGAGTTATGCAGAAACAGGCACACTGGAACCAAACAGGCACACTGAGAAAATATACCTCGGCAATACAAAATACACGGCGCTCACCCTAGCTACACTCTCCTCACAATAAACAATCACCCACAAGGACAAGGGGGCAGAGGGAACACTTATACACGTACTAATGAGGGGATATGAACCAGGTGTGTGTAATAAACAAGACAAAACAAATGGAATGATGAGATGAGGAGCGGCAGTAGCTAGAAGGCCGGTGACGACAAACGCCGAAGCCTGCCCGAACCAGGAAAGGAGGCAGCTTCAGAGGAAGTCGTGACAGTCATGGATTGTAAGCTGGTTGATGTTTGCCACTGAATTAGTATTTATCTAGCTCTTTTTCTGAAAGTGCACTAGGCCTACTAAAACAATGTTGTCAAAATACTATAACACTTCTATATTTGAAAGTTATCACTTTCTAGATGTTTTTAAATTTTTCTTGAAATAAATGCACATATAATGTGTTTGTACATGTCATTTTGTGGACAATAGATATGGTCATTCTATTATAAGAATATTTGTACAGCTACTCAGAGGGTGGGAAACTTGGGCCACGTAGAGTGGCAAACGTTGTCGTTGCAGACAGAAACATAATGACCAGAACAGCACCGAGGTGGTTCCTTATATCAGAACGTTCCAAAATGTTGTGTCCTGCTGAATGCGCCCCAGTAGTAATGTTAAAGGACATTTCCGCCACTTTATAACCAGTTATTATGCTGTTAGTATACAGTGCCTTCAGAAAGTATTCAAACCCCTTTACTTTTTCCACATTCTGTTGTGTTACAGCCTGAATTTAAAATGGATTACATTTAGATGTTGTCACTGGCCTACACACAATATCCCATAATGTCAAAGTGGAATTATGTTTTTCGAAATTTTTACAAATTCATACAAAATGAAAAGCTGAAATTTCTTGAGTCAATAAGTATTCAACCCCTTTATTATGGCAAGCCTAAATAAGTTCAGGAGTAACAATTTGCTGAACAAGTCACATAATAAATTGCATGGACACACTCCGTGTGCAATAATAGAGTTTAACATGATTTTTGAATGATTACCTCATCTCTGTATCCCACACATAGAATTATCTGAAAGGTCCCTCAGTCGAGCAGTGAATTTCAAACACAGATTCAACCACAAAGACCAGGGAGGTTTTTCACTGAAGAAGGACACCTATTGGTAG